AAAAAAAAAAAGACTATATATTTGTAAGTTCTGGAAAGTTTAGCAACTGCAGAGCCGTCTTGTAGTGACAGGCAGTGGACCTTGTCATTATCAGCTCCAGATGGCCATACCAAAGAGGCTGCACTGTTGAATGCTTCTCTGCTTGAATTAGCATGAATTAGCTATTGGTCTCATTATTATCATTTTACTTGGAGCTGGGTGACAGTGACTTTGAAGGTTTGTGAGTCTGGCTTGGCATCCGTAGCTCAGTGAGTAAGGGTGCCAGCCACATACACCAAATCTGGCAAGTTCAAGCCCAGCCGGGCCTGCTAAACAACAGTGACAACTACAACCAAAAAATAGCTGGGCATTGAGGCAGGCACCTGTAGTCCTAGCTGCTTGGGAGGCTGAGGCAAGAGAATCACTTAAGCCCAGGAGTTTGTGGTTGCTGTGAGCTGTGACACCACAGCACTCTACCCAGGGTAATAGCGAGACTCTGTCTCAAAAGAAAAAAAAGAAAGTATGTGAATCTGTGACTTAAATCCCAAGAATTGGTGCAGTAGACCTCTCTGAGGTAGTTTCTGAAGAAAGCGAAGGTTACATGTCTCTGTTGCTTTTTGGAAAAGAGGTCAAAGTACTGGTTTGTGTTGGATCCCACTTCCGTGGCTTGTTAGGAAGTTGGCCATTCTGATCTCTGATTAGTAGTTAGTGAAAAAAAACCTGCCCCTGTGTAGTTGTGGACTCTTGCATTTCTGTTGTTCATTAAAGGAGACTGTCTCTTGACTAAGAAATTCCCGTTAAAATATAGTAGTCTGTGTGTTTGTGTGTGGTATTCTTAGTACCCACTTTGATAGCATGTATCTTTGTAGAACCCTGGGATTTATCAGCCTAGGGACCTATACTTGGGCATTCAGAGGATACAGTGACTTTCTTGCCACCCTTCATGTGTAGAACTTGGCTGGTGGCCTCTGAGGTTACCTAACCCGGCAGGCACAGCTTGGGAACCTAAAGGGTTTGGTTCCCTCAACAACTATATACTTAAAATTGTTTTTTCTCCTTTAAGAGATGGGGTCTTGTTATGTTGCCCAGGCTGGTCTTAAACTCAGGGGCAAAGGTCACATGTGTTCATTCACCAGTTATGTCCCAGCATAGCTCACAGGGGCTGTTACAGAGTTAGCATCCAGTATGTAATTATTAACAGGGTCACCTTCTTGTGCCTCACGTTGGAGACTTTGGCTGAACAGGATTTTTATGTATTTTGATCATAAAGTGTCACTTCACCAATTATTATCTTTAAAATACATGAGTATCTTCAACTTATTTACTTATGTGCAGGGGTCAGAGGGACAGGGGCATTTTCATGTTAATCCATATAGCATCCAATGTTATGAAGACCTGGATTATGGAAACTCAGCTGGAGTTATAGGAACTTAGAGTTTCTTTTTGTGAGTTGATGTTTGTGGCCACTTTTTTTGCTGCGGTCTTGTCTTAGGGCAAGTTACCCATTGCCTTGCTTGCCTCCCTCTCCCCAGGTATAATTTCACGATGCTGGCCCTGTCATTCTCATTTCTGGTGTTGTCCTATATCCTGACCTATTGGTGTGGCAGTGTGGGCTTCATCTTGGCCAACTGCTTTAACATGGCTATTCGGATCACACAGAGCCTTTTCTTCATCCACTGTTACTACCGAGGGAGCCCCTACAGGCCCCTGGCTGGCCTCCGCCTGTCACCGGTCCTTCTTGGAGTATTTGCCCTCAGTGGTGGGATTACTAGTGTTTCAGAGGTAAGACTCCCAGCAGCTTCCATACCATGTGCTTCTGCCACCTGTCTGATTGCCCCTGCTTCAAGGCTTTCCCTTCTCACTCTGTCTGAACCAACTGGACATGTTTTTGTCTCCTCTTATCCCTTCCCCAGGCCTCCATGGCAGTCTCTTACAGTAGACATGACAAAAGAATGTTTCCAGTGGGAGAGAGTAGAGCCATAGTACATAGTTGTCATGCCTTTTGTCTGTGTTGGAAGCTGGAACTACACCTGCCTACCTGGCTTGTCCTAGAGGAAGGAGGGACAAATTGAGGAATGGCCACTAACAATGGTTTCTTTCCCCAGGTGTTCCTCTGCTGTGAGCAGGGCTGGCCAGCCAGGCTGGCGCACATTGTTGTGGGAGCCTTCTGTTTGGGAATGACTCTTGGGACAGTATGCCTCACAGAGACCAAGCTGATCTATTTTCTCAAGACTCAGTTAGGTATGTCCAGACTCATTGACAAAATGGCATGACTTCAGAGATGCTCTGACACTTGCGGTACCTGGACCAGCCATGGGGCAGTTCTGTTGGTGGAGCACATATTCTGGGTAAAAGCCTCTGTGAGTTCTGCAGTGGAACGAGAGCAACGCTGGAGGGGGACATCAGAGAAAACCCCTGGATGAAACAGTTGCCATCCATCTGAAGTCTTACATGTGAAGGATGAGTTTCATTTTTAAATGAAGACCAAAAATAGATGACTTTTTTCATCATTTTGTTCTAATCAGCATTATCTTGTTTTATTAATCTGTTGATTCCTTTTGGATATGATTGACCTTTGGAGCTACCTGTTCCAACAAACTCTGTCTCAGATGTTAATGGTTAATAATCTTCAGGCC